TTCCCTCCGGAGGAGCTGGAGGAAGTGTCTAGAGAGAGGGAAGTCTGGGCATCTTTGCTTAGACTGCTGCCCCCGCGACCCAGTTCCGGATAAGCGGAGGAAAATGGATGGATGGATGGATGAAAGTTAAAATCTGCCCCAAATATCCCAATAACACTAACCTTCTGGATCATTTACTTTAAAGTTGTAGGTGTGCTGACAAGAGAATACCATCACAATAAACCTCCTTCCTCATCTCAGCTGGATAAAACAACTAACATGTAAAAATATGACAATGAAAGACTGGATTTAAGTGATGAACATGAACATACCTGTTGAAGAGAGCTGCTGGCACCAGTAGCATCATCCATCTGAGTCTTTGACAGGAGGGAAGGATGGGAGTTGTCCACTGCCATGGTGTTATCTATGATGCCTGTTCATCTGTAAATGTAAAAGGTCAGTTGATGTAGATGCTGTATAACATACAAATAAACTGACCACTTGTTAGACAAGATCCACAAAAAGTTTCAAATCAGACACAGAATGAAAGTGTGCTGTGGGATGTCCTGATTGTCCAATACAGAGTCATAACTAACCAAGAAAATATCCTTGTGAAGGTTAAAATCATCCTTAAATATCCCAACACCACTAACCATTTGGATTACTTAGATTAAACCTTTTGGTGTGCTAACTCACAATAGTCTGTCATCACAATAAGTTTCCTTCCTTTTTCCAGCTGTCTAAAACCACAAATATAGTTTTAAGTGATGTTAATTGGGATGCCACTTGATTGTTTTTTTTAAACGTGTTAATTTCATTCTTGTCTTGTCAATTGTAGTCTTTACAAAAATATTAAAAGTGATAATTTAAATTCCCATATTTCTAGTACAAATTCTCATTCATTCAATCACAAAGTTATTTGACACATTCTGCAACACAATGAGTCATTCTGTACACTGTGTACTGTGCAACATACTTGTGTTCTCAATGGGCAGTCTTCCCCTCCATAGTCATAGGTAATTTCTTCTCCTTCTTTAATGTCATTCAGGGCAAACAAACAAAGGTGTGCGTTTCCATTCACATCAATCTTTTTCATTTTACAGTTTGGACATCTGTGATCATCATTAACTAAGCGCCCAAATGATCCATCTTCTCGAGGCATCAATACTTAAAAATATGGAAACATAATAAATAGAATTAGCACCATATATCACCACAATATGATAGATTTACTTTGTACAGTCTCATACTGTACTTCATAGTATAGTATAGTATAGGTTCAGCATGAAGTCTTACCACCATTTTTTTCCTCTCCATTTGAATTCAAACATAAATGCAGCACATGATGGATGATAAATTTTTCTTCTTCTCTGGGATTCTGCATCATTTATCATGGCTCCCCTGTATTCAACAACAAATTCTCCTTTGCAAATTGAACCCTTTGCAAACACATCACGTCTTGTAAAAGACAATAAAAACATTTTCAACACCGAAAGCGATCCAATCTACCATTATCAATTAGTCTATGGTAATATCAAAAAAAGCAAAAAATGCACATCTTGCAGATAAAGAATGACAATTACACAACAACAGAACAGTGGATTGTAGCTGATTTGAGATTATTAGCAAGAGAGTATCTATTTAATGTATCTTGTATCTGAATTAGATGCTTATCAGATAATAATTGTAATTTTTAAATGTTACATTGCATCAGACATCACCTTACCTTTTACTGCATTGATGTACTTCACCTCTAATTTGCATGCTTTGTCAGTCTTTGAAACAACATGGTGAATGGCATCCTTAAGGGGGCTGATCCGTGGTGGCATTTTATACTGTAGTGAAAAAATTTGTTTGCAGTGGTTTCAGTTACAGATTGAGGTTTTTAAAGTTTTTGGCTATATAATATTTTGTGCAAAGGATTGTACACTTTTAGTGTTTCTCATCTCTCTCAGGGTACCACTTCTTAAAGTCATTTTAATAACGGATGAAACTCAAATGGAAAACAATCTGATATTGAGAGGTATGTAAAAAACTCTCGTTGTAGATTAAAACCTCAAGGGGTTATTTACACTGCAGGATGCAAATACACACCCTAAGAAGCAGACACATTATGCAATATATAGTTGTGAAGTAAACTGTATTGTAATGTTTTTTTTTGTTTTTGTTTTTTTTTTGACAATGTAGTGAAATAAATGACAATGTGAAACTGGAATACACGCAGAATCAACCAGGTATTTTCAGTAAACAGTGAAAAACCATATATAACTGAAGTCAGAATTTGTGGTCATTTAAATATCTGGCACAAATCTAGCCTTAGGGTAACAATTCACACATGCATTTAGTCTTTTGTGAACTTTTACTTTTACTTCACTACATTTCCTAAATAACATGTGTACTTTTACTCCGATACATTTCCACCTCTGCCTTTCCGTTACTTACTACAAAATTAAAAGGGAAAAAAAGTCACGGTAAAGTAGGTTTCGAACCACAGGTGCTGGCCCACCTACACCTACATCTCCAGCAGACTCAGATGACCACCCGTGGCCATATCTGCAAGAGATGTTTTCATTTCTTGGCGTGAAGGATTCCTCATACCGAATGAAGTGCCTCCTATGCCTGGCGAAGGACACTGAAATACTGGCTTTCAAAAACTCACCATCCAACCTCAAGAAACACGTTGAGGTAAGTTAATTAAAGTCATATGTGATTAATATATTAAGCACTTATTAGCAAATGTTATGTCATAACAGTAGGCTGTCTAATTGTTTTTGCTAACATTAACGTTAGCTGTAAACGAAGCTGAGACGTCTGGCTAACGTGGTTATTAGCTAACGTTAATTAGTCACTGGTCACTTAGCTAACGTTACGGTTTTTTTTCCATCTGTGTCTGTTGCTTCCAAAACTATGTTGATGACATTCAATACTTAATCTATTACATTACACTTGCATAAATTAAGCTATTTAATTTATGCTAAATTAGCCTCATGTTCCACTTGTCCTTCCACTAATTAACAATGAATTAACACAGACTACGTAGCAGGCAGAAGGTGATTAAAAATATAGATTAAGCAGTTATAATGGGTATGTCTGTGACTAGAGTCTAGGCTAACATTATTCATGAAAGTGAATTAAATCACAGATATAAGTGGTAAAAACTAGCTAGTTAATAAGTTAATGAGATCCTTCAGCAAATGTTTTAACTTGGACATTGGGATAAGACCTGCTAACCATCATCAGACAAACAGTTACCATTGTAATGTGTTAAAATAATAACATTAAATGACTGTAACTGTATGAGTACTTTTACATCTACAGTACATGTTAAGGTTTTATGTATTTGTTTCAGGTTCACACACATTTGATGTGCTGGAAAGTGCCCTAAATGTAAAAGTATGTGGCTGTCACGAGTCCAGTTTCCCAAGCCACCAACATCTTGCAAGCAGAAGCAAATATCCAGATGGGGTGGTTACTTCCAACAATTAACCTGCTGACCACCAAACTTGACAGAGTCAAGCTGCCATTAAAGTACTGCAAGCCTCTGGTGGATGTCCTACAAGTGGGAATAAAAAATCGTTTTGGCCACATGTTTGGGGACCCAGAGTTGATTGCAGCTGCGATTCTTCTTCCAAAATTCAGAACAACTTGGACAAAAGCTGATGCCATAATCAAAATGGGTAAGAGTACATGACATAATAAAAAATGTGTATGGGTATTTATTTTTTGCTGCATTTGATGTTGCCAAAATCACAAACCAATTTTGGATGCAAAAGAGATAAGAGGAAAAGCTGATATCCCATCACTTATTTTCATCTTCAATCTATTTCAGGAATGGAATACATCAAGCAGCACATGGAAGAACCCGCCATAGGTGATGCCACCAGGTCCAGTTCATCAGATGAAGAAGACTTCTTCTCTGTACTGCAATCATCTCCTGCACAAGATAGCTCCAAACAACTGGATGCATACTTGTTTTGTGTAGCAGATCACATGGACTTGCTGAAATCCTTCCCAGCTGTCTGCAAGTTGTCTGTGAAGCTGAACACACCTCTGCCTGCCTCAGCAGCGTGTGAAAGGCTGTTTAGCTGTGCAGGTCTTGTCTTCAGCCCAAGAAGAGCGAGGTTGGATTCTTGTAATTTTGAAAACCAACTTCTTTTGAGGTTAAACAGCAAATTTTTCAGCTTTAAGTAAAGACTGTGTTGTTAATGTGGGGGAGGATGTGAAGAATGAAGGACTAAGAGGAAGGGCTGACTGGGTTTAGGAAAAGAGAAAGGGACTGGACAAATGGACAGTGAAGGAACAAAAGGGAAGGAAAAACTTTGTTTTGAATTTGCTGAATGGGAAATGAGTGTGTGACCGCTAAATGTCAGTCATGGGTCTTCATTAGAAAGGTGCATGTTATGGAAGCAGTGTTACACTACAGTTCAGTACAGGACAATTTAGTTTTCAAGGCTGATTTTTTTTATGTACAGTAGGCTTTTGGTTTTTCTTGTCATGGGGAATTTAAGTTAAGAATTTTAAGAAAAGAAGGCACAGCAGAATAAAGTGTGTAATTTTCAAAATTCTGACTACTTTGCTATTTTATTAACAACATTTGTACTTTTACTTTCAATACTTAAGTATTAACATTTTCAGAAAGCTACTTTTGATACTTAAGTATGGTTAATATCAGATACTTAAACACTTTTACTCAGGTAGAATTTTAATGGGTGTCTACCTTTTACTTGAGTCATTTTCTAACAAAAAATTTGTACTTCTACTTAACTGTGGAGTTCAAGTACTTTATACAATACTGTTCAGAACAGATCCTGTATTGATTTAATAAGGTTTCCCTCATGGGGACCAGCCTTTTGGTCTCCATACCGCAAGAGGTCCCCATGAGGTGACTGTGTAAACAGATTGATGTCCCCGCGATGTGATGATTACCAGAACACACAAACACCTACTTGTTTTACCTACTTTGTGGGGACCAATGGGAAAATTTTCACATCTTAATAAGTTCAGCATACTTTCCGCTAGAAAAGCCATTCAGGTATCAAAATGTTCAGTGCTTCAAGGACATTCCCACTTGTATTTTTAATTGCATCTCATCCTTCAGATTATTCAACAAAGAGCAATTGATTTCAGGCATTTTCAGGATGATCCTTCAGCATATCAGTATCCACATGCATTTTCGATAGGAAATGCATTTCTCTAGTTATTATTTGCACTACTGTCAGTGTTTGCACATGGCTTTGAGTTTCATCATAGCCTATTAGGTTGTATCATCTAGTTTATCCTTATTACTTGAATTCAGTTTTCATATTCTGTTTAGTCTGTGTTTATTCTACATTTATTCTATTTTAATTTCATAAATGGTATGGGCATTCAACATTAGGTGAGAGAGAAACTGTATTTTGAATTTTCTGTATGTCCTGTACATATAGGGAATTGACAATAAAAATCATTGATCTATGACAGTGACAGACATTACATCAGTGCTAGCGGTCACTGACATCAGCCAAAACTCAAACTATAGAAGGTTAAAAAAGCAAACAAACGAAAAACTCTTGCTTTATTTTTTTAAACGGATACTTACTAGCCATCTGTCTATTTCTGCATCACTTTGAATGTTTGATTTTGGAGTGTATTTAGCATATCGCATCATGTCTCCTCCATCCACGGTCACGCCACCGGTGTTAGTCATATTGCTGTAACTCTGTGAGCACATCCGTTTATAACTTTCAAAATGAAACTGAAACTTTAATTTCTGTCTTGTACCCAGCACCCATGTCCCGCACCTCTCTGCTGAAAAGATAAATTGCGATACTGTATGAGGGTTTAGAATCATAAATAAATGAGTAAATACCACTTAGTTTTTGGATTTGAACAGTTTGTCATCTTAAAACTGCTCTAATCCATTTTTATATTGAAATCACCCTCCACTCAAAAGGTACTTTAGTCAATATTACTTCTTTTGAATATTTGAGCATAATGTTTGACATTAGAAGGCAGGTTCTAAATTTTACCTGTTGAAGGGGAAAGCTGCTCGTTGCTCACCGAGGCTAGATTTCCAACGTGGATCATTTTTGAAACAGCCTAGCATTATATTGGTTGTTTTTGTCAGGGCCCAGACTAAGTGACAAAGAGTGAGCGGTCTTATCACCACACAGGCGATGTGTATTGCACTGAGATTTGGAAAATGTGGAAAATTTAGAAAAGAGCCATTTGTTGAGCTATTCAAAAAGTGTACCTGGTTCTGAAACAGTTCCTCAGTGGTTTTCATATTGTCCTTTTTTCTATGTGCATTAAAAACAAATTGATCTCAAAAGCTTTGGAAAATGTATCAATTTAACATATGTTTTAGCCTTGGCACAAGAGTCTGAATCACTTCTGATGTGAGTAACTGTCCTCCAGGGGTCCTCGTTAGTATACTGGTCAGTATCTTCGGAAAACCGGGGCTCGATTCCCCGACGGGGAGTTTTGTTGCAGATTCTCTTGTCAAATTCCTTGTGTGTATAACATGTGGCCCACTAAAGTGATCATTATTAACAACATTTAGCTGATATCTTATTAATTAGACTTCCCTAAACTAAATAAAGCAATAGTAACTTCAGCTCCACCAGCTACAATGATGCATTGATGTTGATAAATCCTGCAATGGATTAAGGACTAATGCAGCAATACACAATAGCAAGAGGGAGGAGTTTATTCAAATTCCATTTATTTAGGCTATCATACAGTGTTCATATGATGTACATGTAAACACACTTGATAATGCAGCATAATTAAAACACATTTATATTGATACACATATTTAATGACAAGAATTGTATAATTTAAATAAAAACCACTCAATCGGTGTCCTCACTCTTCTACAGCTCGGAGAAGCTGTATTTTTCCATTGAAGCAGCAGCGGCAGTTCAGTTTCCAGAGGATGCAATGCCACATGACAATTCAGCATGCTTATCAAATATATGCTACTGCACATGTAATGACAGTCAATATCATGAGTGTTCTCACTGTTTTGCTGCTAGAAGTTGCTGGGTTTCTCAGTGTGGGTGACAATTGAAGCAGCAGCAGCACCCTCTGTTGTTTGTAAAGAGAAGAGCATACAGCACCTGTTATTCCCAGGCAGTCTCCCATCCGAGTACTATACAGACTCAACGCTGCTTAGCTTCTGAGATCAGATACTTTCAGGGCGGTATGGCTGTAAGTAACACAGAGTTTAACCAACTGCTCCTTTATACATGCTGCATGCTCATGTCTTTTGATGTGTGTTTCACATCTTCACAATTTCTACTGCTCAAGGAAATACCTCTCATATTGTTGCATGCACTTATATCCCATGACAGAAGTTGTCAACATTCATGCTTTGCTATGTCGACTCAGCCGCATTTTCATCTTGAAGCTCAAGATGAAAATGTAGTAGACACTTTTTTTTATATGTACGCATGTAAATGTGCATGTGTCAGCAGAAGAAGGACAGTGGCACACTCCCAATGAAAAGAAAGGGGTTTGCTGGATGACGTTTGGCCCGGCAGCTGGGAGCTGCTCCGTGCTTTTGTCCCTTTCTGACCCCGCTGATCCGGCACTCGCCCTGATGTCACACACACACACACTTTCACACACCTGCATGTAGCCAGACAGATGACTGCAGACATGCACACACACACGCATGTGCCGGCATACATGTATATGTGGAAATTTGCTAAAACACCTCAGACATGCCCACAAACTGTTCAGTAGACCAGGCCTAGTGGAGGTGATCAATCATGACTTAATTAGGGAGCTGTGATTTGTGTATGTGTGTGTGTGTGTGTGTGTGTGTGTGTGTGTGTGTGTGTGTGAGACTCGCTGTGACTCTGTCAAAGACATCACCACAACAGTAAAGCCGTTAATGTGAAATTCCATGATGGTTCCATAATCCTGTCAAATCATCTCCATGATTAAACAAAGCTTTCCCTTCCTGGTTTGCCATTGTCTAGAAACTGCCAGATTTTCCCTGACGCTTACCAAGAGCTGATGTAAATCGCCTGATATTCTTTTTTTGAAATAAACTTCTTGAAACCTTTCTATGCTCCAGGATTCTCAGCAGCATCAGGACATGTGGAATATCAAGGGGCTTTCAGCTAAAAATCCATTTTTTCATCTTGCATCTTTTCCATAGTTGACTCTGCACATTCTTTCAACTGGCACTAAAACTGGCAGACATTTCTCCTTAATCAGACTCCTTTGAAATAAACAGTAAGTGTGTGTTGAGTCCTGTCTCATGCTGATGTGGGAGAAGTTTGTTCATGTTGGTTGTGGTAGTGATTTTCCAGCAAACAGTTTGATCTTACAGGAATTTTCTAAGATTAGAAGATGAATTGTTGCTCTCATTTATGAACTAAACACATTTTGCAGGTTCCAGTTTCTCAGATGTGAGGATTTACTGCTTGTGCCTACCCTGACTCACTAAGTGTTTTATTAGGACAGAATAAGTTACTGAAAATTATCCTTAGTTGCCATTTGACATTCCACTCTGACAACTACTATTCCGGTGATGCTGACTAAATTGCTATGGAGGATTTATTGGCCTCAGTTATGTGGTAAATCTCAGCAATGTGTCTTGTTTTGTGTGGCTGCTGCATCACTCCATCTTCATTACACCAAACACGAGCCTGTGTGAACAGCAGGTGGTGAGTGCATGTCTGTGTGTGTACATGGTTTCATGCTGCCTCCTTAAGTGACCCAGGGGGCAGTGGGCCTAAGGCCAACCTTTTGTGCCTTCAAAGTCCCCAGTGACCCTGTCCCATCCCCCTACACACACACACACACACACACCATGTGGTCTGAGCTCTGGTTTGTTTGACTGGCCTCTTCATTGGTATGAGCATGTGTGAGGACTGTGGGTATAGCATTTTGCATGTAAAATGTGTGTGGATGAAAGCAGCTGCACTACCTCATGCTCTCCCTGGATATGCCACTCAGGCCTTGTTAAGAGGCTGGAGTAATTCCCGCTACCTGCCCAGTGGGCTGAAGGACAAACTACGGCAGCTTCTGCTCCTGCTGTTCTGTTAGGTATTTTTAGTCAGATAGAAATTGGATAGATACTTTATGTATTAGAAATGTTTAGTGGAGATAGGATGTCTAGTTAGACTGTTAAATGCTTAGTCATGCTTATGAGTTTCTACAGGGTACATCTGGTCAAGGATAACTAGAGAGAAGAGTTGATGACTGTCAGCAGACAGGGTGTTTAATATTATTATTATGACGTGTATAACTGTAGTCCTAGCCATAATATGTTCTTATGTTTAATGTCACGACATGTTCTAGAGGTCTGTGAGAATGTTTTTAGTTACACACCACTTAATCAACAGACACACACACACACATTGATTTGCTTCATGTTTTGACTACTGCTATGACCAGCTGCAAAGCTGGCAACAGAGACGTCTTGGTTGACGTTTCTGTGTAGTATGGGGCTAGCCCAACCGAGGGGATATAATGTATAGGCCTGCTGGGTTCAGGGTCTTTCATCTTACATCTGCCTGCGAGCAGTTTGGAGGTGGAA